CCCCAGCATCCTGGTTGGGTACGGGGTCGGCCCCTGCCCGGGGGTTAAAGTGGGTCCGTAAATCCCTGGGATGGGATTTGGGTGCTTTGATAGAGGTTTTCGTTCGGGGTGGAGACCCCCGAGTGTCCCTGCAGAGCTGGGGTGGAGCGTTAGGGCGTGGGATGGGGTGGGACACGATGGGTGGGATGGCACAGCATGAGACGGAGGTGCAGGTGGAGATGATGGGGATGGAGATGATGGTGATGGGGATCGAAATGGGGATGGAGAAGGATGGGGATGGGACAGGAAGGGATAGGACAGGATGGGGATGGCGTGGGGAGGGAATGGGGATAAGGATGGGAACAGGAAAGTAGGAAAGGGACAGGCTGCGATGGGACAGGATGAGTGGGAATTGCAATGGGATGGGATGACATGGCGTGGGGACGGGATGAGACAGGGTAGGGACAGAATGGGAGGGGATGGGGTGGGATTGGGCTGAAGATGGTCATGGGGATGGGATGGCTGAGAAGGGGATGGGATGGGTCAGGATGGGGTGGGGAGGTGGTGGAAAGGGATGGTACGGGAGGGGACGGGATGGGATGGGAACGGGATGCAGGCCAGGTTGGCCCAGCCAGCAGGTCTGCGTGGCGCGCTGCCTCGCAGGTGGCCTATGACACGGGAGACTACTACCACTCCATCGCATGGCTGGAGGAGGCTGTCGGCCTCTTCCGTCTCTCCTACGGCAGCTGGAACCCCGAAGACCGGAGCAGCCTGGAGGATGCTCTGGACCATCTCGCCTTCTCCTACTTCATGGTACAGCTGCGAGTCCCACCCCCATCACCCCAGTGCTGGTGGAGCTGAACCGTGGGTGGGAGGATGCTCACAGGTTCTTCATGCTCCCCCCGCCCCCCATCCAGGCTGGAAACATCTCCCACGCCTTGAGCCTCTCCAGGGAGTTTCTTCACTACGGTACGTGGGGCAACCTCGGATGGGGCAGGAGGAGGGGAGAGGTTTTGGGGTGTCCCCCATCACCTCTGCATGGCACCAGCCTCCTTCACCCCATTTCTTGCCCCCATGTGGGCTAATTCTCCAGGGACCGATGCCAGGTCCTGACTGATGCCAGGTGCTGGGGACATGGCGTTTCGGGTGACACCACCTCTCCGGCAGACCCCAGTAACCAAAGGGTGGCGAGGAACGTGGCCAAGTACGAGAAGCTGCTGGAGACAGGGACGGCGGCGAGCGCTGGACCCCTGCGACGCCCCAACGGCACCCACCTACAGAGCCGCGACACCTACGAGGAGCTGTGCCAGCGCCCAGGGGTGCAGGTGGGGCTGGCGGGGGCAGGGGGCATGGTCCCCCACCCCACCCCTGTCCTTCCCTCTCACACCCTCCTTTGTCCTCTCTCTCTCCAGCCGACCCCAGAGCGTCTCCCGCACCTTGGCTGCTCCTACGAGACCAACGGCAGTCCCTACCTCCTTCTCCAGCCTGCCAAGAAGGAGATGGTCCAGATCCAACCCTACGTGGCTTTGTACCACGATTTCGTCAGCGACGCCGAGGCTGAGACCATCAAGAGGTTGGCAGGGCCCTGGGTGAGCCATCCCCGTCCCCAGGGATGTCCTTCTCCTGGAGGAGGGTGCCCCAAGAGCTGGTGGTCCAGGGTGAACCATCCTGAGCGTGCAGAGAGAGGAGGGGTTTTAAGCCAGGGCTTAGTCAAAGTCTTCTGCAGCGAGATCCTGGCAGTGGATGAGCCCAGCTTAGCTCCATCTGAGCCCTCTCCGAAAAGATTTTTGGGAGAAACCAGATCCATGCATGCACCTAAACCCCTTCCCAGCCGGGCTTGACTTGGTGCCACCCAACTGCATTGGATCCAACTGCTACCTCTGCTTCCATCACCCTGGTGGGACACCTTGGGGTGGGGATGTTTGGCAACCAGCTGGTATAAACCCCCCCAATTTCAACCCTCAACTGGGGTCCCTGCTTGATGTGGGAGGGTCCCCATCTGCAGCAACACCCCCCCCCAACATGTGTCCTTCAGCTGCAGAGGTCCGTGGTCGCCTCTGGGGAGAAGCAGCAGAAAGCCGAGTACCGGATAAGCAAGAGGTAGTAGTCACCTCCTCCCTTGTCCTCCAGCCAGCGGGACCACCATGGCCCCGTTGCCACCACCAAGGTGGCAGTGAAGCCATGCTGGGCAGGCCTGGGTCCTCCACGCCCAACAGTGCCGCGAGGGTTAAGCCCAACCACGCCTGAATTTGGGGGGGGCTGAAGGTGGGGTGCTCCCGCAGCGCACACTGCCGACCCAGTGGTGCGGGCGTTGGAGCAGCGCATCGCGGCAGTCACCGGCCTGGACCTGCGGCCACCCTACGCCGAGTACCTGCAGGTGGTCAACTACGGGTTGGGAGGCCACTACGAGCCACACTTCGACCACGCCACGGTCAGGGAGCTGCTTGGGTGGTCATGGGGTGGTTCCTGTGGTGCTCTTGGGGTGATCCTGGGATGGTTCCTGGGGGTGGCCTCTCAGATGGTCACCAGGGTGGTGGCTGGGCTGGTCCCTGGGGTGGTGTCTCTGCTGGTACCTCAGATGTTCCTGGAGGTGGCCCTGGGGTGATCCCTGTGGTGATCCCTGGGATGGTGCCCGGGTGGGGGGG